TTCTTAATCTGACCAAACAACCCATAGGTGCTTGCATAGAAATTATATGACCTACTAATGAAGCCACTTACCTAGCTTTAAATAAACAGTTTCCTGATGATATTTTCTCGAAGAAGAGTTTTAAAAGATTTCTCAGTTTATCTAAATGTTCTGGAGACGCATAAATCTTACCAACACACATATCCCATATTAACCCTAACCATTTAACTGTCTGAGAAGGTTGCCAGTTGCATTTTTGTTCTGCTATAAGAAAACCAAACATTTGCAATTATGTGTGCACTTGATTACTTATCTCTAATGCATTCTCATAACTTTACGCTCCACCTATGCCATCATTAGAATGACCATTGGTCATTCTAAAACACATGACTACACTTAATCTTGATGAACCGTGCAATGCAATATTTTTCTGCTATACTACGAAACGCAGAAAAAGATACATATTTAGCATTGCACTAGGTCATGCGTTTCTCATACTGTTTATTAGGCTTTTACACTTAATCCGTTGGATGCATACTGATTGATACTTTAGTCTGAGAGAACACGATTTATTTATTAGTTGTAATTGGCTTTGAACTACTAGCTTTCAGTAATTGCGAGAACTCTTACATCGGTGCTTTGTGTCTATTGTTTTAACGACAGTTGTTTGTTGTGAACCTACACTATTTTTTTCTTTAGAAGTTGTACATGTAGGTACATGTATTAATGTATTTTGTTCTGAGAATATCAGTATGCTACTTACGTTAAACAACGAAAACGCTTTTGGTTGTATTGTGATTAATTTTGGTAAAAACTAAATAAAACAAAAAAACGTTTATGAAAGTATTCTAAAGTTACATGAAACAAGTTTCTTGCCTGAAATTATAATGCTAAGGAAAGTATTGAACCAATTTATGTATATATATACTAAACTAAATCCTTTCTACACGAGTTTTGTTTTCATTTATTACGAATCTATAACGTAAAATCGACAACAATGTTTCATTCAGTGAAAAATGTGCGTCCTATATGTAATTACCTTTCGTGTTTTAGTACCGAAGTTTGCCGATCGTGACCTTTTATTAAACATTGAACACAGAATCATGGAGAACGTGAAAAAGCAGTGAGGTAATAGACATTTTCAACTGATTTTTATAGTTTGTTCTTATGTTGTACTGGTACACCATTGTGATTGTGCCAGGTGAGGGGGGGCGCCTTCAAACTAGTATAACCCCGCAAAATTCTGTATGTTCCTTGTCTGTGTAGCATATATGTTTTTCGTTCATTATTTTGTACCTAAATTATGCCGTTAGTTTTATCGTTTGAATTGTTTTATATGTCATTTTGGGGCCTTTTATGGATGATTATGTGGTATAGGCTTTGCTCATTGTCGAAGGCCGTACGTTGACCTATAGTTGTTAATTTCTTTGTCATTTGGTATCTTGAGTAGAGTTCTCTCAGCGGCAATCATACCACATCTTCTTATTTTTATATGCAATAGAGCGATGTTTTTATTTAATATATTTTCAATGCGTTTCCATTAGTACACTTTGTCATTACATTTGTTAAATGATTTGGTGTATTAAAATGTTTCTTTTATAATCAATTAACACTATCTTACCTCCACGTTTGTTCGCCTTTTCTTCTATCCTGGTTTTACCCTAGCACTTGCGCTGTGTAGTTGTTTAAGTACTAACGAGAGGTTTCGTGGTTAAGGTCAGTGCATACGGAAAAGCTATCGGCGAATTAGAGTACGGGAAGACAATAATTCAATAGCAGTACCTTTCTGAAGATTTTGATAAAATGAATGATTTTCCTTTTAAAGAAAGTGTTTTGCAGTTAAACTTAGCCATTCAAAAGTATAACTTATATTTATCTTATTTTTTAATTTGAAGTATCAAATGACTTTGATTTTTTTATGTCATTTTTACAAGATTCCATTAGTATTCTAATAAATTGCAAGTATTTTTTTCTGAGTTTATAACAAACGAAGTAATACGAACGTGTATTACACGCATAAGTAAAAGCAAATAGTTCATCTCATGATAAAAACAGGATGAGAAAAATAAATGCATGTACATATGTCAAAAACAAGGAAAGTACTAGACTAAGTTGTGACTTGGATGGAGAGTTGTCTCAATTGCACTCATACCACATCTTCTTATATCTAAGTAAATACCCAAATATTGAAAAATAAACAGCGATTTCAACAAGATTACTGATCTTTGAAGAGGGAGACTCTGTCGCCAAGTGGTCTAAGTAGTTCAACTACTGAATCACTAACCTGCCAACACTGAGTTTGTGAGTTCGAGTTCCGCACGCGGCCTGACTTCATTGACTAAGATTGTAAGTTTTCCTACCGAAGGTCGATGATTCTCTCCGGGCACTCCGGCATCCTCCACCAATAAAAACTGGCCGCCACAAAATAGCCATCAGTGCTTAAACATGTTAAAGTGGGGTTAAACAGCAATCAATCAATCAATCAATCATCTTTGCAGTTACGAGGAGTTCTTTAACGGCTGTCTTTGAATGTCAATCAATGAATTGTTTAAACAATAAGTTTTTGCCGAATGACTAAAAAAGCTACATCACCATCAAGGCAGCTACTATTCACTGATCATAGTTCTGTATAACATCTAAGCTTGTATTACCTCTTCCTTTTAAACCGAAGATTAACCTTAAATGAATATCCTTTCATTTAAATGTTAACGCTTATCCTATTTATTTTCACAGCTTTTCGTTGTATAGTTTCATGAATTCTAATTATTTCTCGCCATGTTAATATCAGTTAACAGACGCATTTCCGTTTTCGTATATAAACACATAATTGTTCTTGTTTTGATAAAATTGTAGATGCAGGCAAATTAGAGGTTGTAATGTTGTATAGCCTTACACGTATGGATGGTGTTGGCTACCCGTCAACGACAGTAATGCAGTTATTGAATCCATACTGAAATATAGTCTTATACTGAATATTTATATACAAGTTATGTCGTCTTAAAAAATGAACACTCTTAAGTTTGTTTAACTCTATATTATTGCTTATTTTTAATATAACAAGAAAAGTTCTGAAAAATGCTTCATTGTGTAATGACTGAAGTAAACATGTGTACATAATACTAAAATTACGTTTATGATCATGCTGAAAATGTTACGGATGGACATAATTGATTGATTGATTGGTGTATAACGCCACTTTCATCACTATTGGCTATTTCGTTGTGGTCAGTTTTTTATTGATGGAGGAAGCCGGAGAGAACCACCAACTTTCGGCAGAAAAACTAACAAACCATGTCAATTAAGATTGGAGTCGACAACACCTGCCACGTACGTGTGGGGTTCGAACTAAGAACACTATTGATATGTCGTCCTTTGATTTGACAGTGCACTCTATATAATTTACATCTGCTACGAAAATGTCTAAAGGAGAAGAAAGTCGACCTTATGTTCTGCAATAAACTTACAGATAGAATGAATAAAAGAATGAATAATACAATTTATAGAATAAAATAAAGGAATGAAAGAATGCATAAAAGAATGAATAATAAAATTTATAGAATAAAATGAATGAATAAGAGAATGAATAATAAGATTTAAAGAACAAAATAAATGAATAGATCAAAAAAGTTTAGGCTCTCCAGACGTGTTCACCTACCACATAGTTATGATTTTAATTAGCATGGAAACGGTTGAAAAGTTATTTATCATCTCTGAATAATTAAAGACTCTAAGCAGTAATTAACAATCCTGAATATTGCATGAATGAAAAAGTCAATGAAACTATTGCTGTCAAAATAAGACAATGAAAAATAATAATAACATGTGAACGTAAATCCATCACAAAGACAAGAAAATTGACTTAATTAATCTATAATGATGGATAGGTCAGACTATTTGTCTTTCGTGTTATGGTGACATATTTTCTTTCGAAACTCCTCTATATTTTACATTTTGAAAAAATCAAGCACAGGACACGGCATTGTCACATGATATCGACAATAAGCCTTCACATTATATGTACACATGGTATTTTTAAGAAACGTTAGTGGTCTCATCCAACCTCTCCTTCCTGCATTTCACACTAAGAATAATCTTTACTTGCTTGTCCGTTTTAGACGTTTACCATTATTTTTAAAGTCTGGATGCGACTTTACATTCAGATTTGCGATTTTCATTTTTGAATATTTGTCATAAATTTCTTTGTAAAATACAGTGCCGAACTTTAAAGTCCTGGTCATCGGGCAGTATTTTCTTTATCTAAGGAAATGGCCCCTCAATCAACATATATAGAGTGACTCCCCGTGCTTAAAGTGTATGCTCTTATAATATAAAAGATAATGAGTGTGTGTCCGAGCGAGAACTTACTGGGCTGTTTTCTGCTCTTTGGTTGGGTTGTTGTCTCTGTGACATATTCCCCGTTTCCATTCTCTATTCTATTTTTCACAGAGTTTGTCTTTTGTGCTGTTTGGAGACAGTAGAGTGTATCACTGTGCTTAAGGCGTATGGTTTTACAATGTGCAAGATGATGAAGTGTGTGTCCGGGCGAGAACTTCTCTATTGGACTGTTTTCTGCTCTTTGGTTGAGTTGTCTCTTTGACAGATTCCCCGTTTCCATTCTCTATTCTATAAATATGGTTTATTGGTTATAAAGTAATAAATATTTTTACAAATTTCATTCTTTCTTATGTGTTTATTACTACCAATAACTAGATGTGGTATGATTGCGAATGAGACGACTGTCCACCAGAGACTAGTATCTAAAAAAAAAAATCCCAACTGCAAAAATTAGAAAAACCCTTTTGTTGCAAAGTTTCGTTCTTAGATTTTACTTACAATCAATTCTAGCTCCATATCAATCTATGACGAAGGCAAACATCAATCTACTGAACATGTTAGGGGTTAACGTTTAGTGGTATATCCAGTACAGACAATGTAGACATGTATTATTGTCTTTGAAGTTAACATGACCCAGTAATTCGCAGATACTTTCAACAAATTTGAAATCATAAATTAAACCATAATAATATTTCTTATTTATTTTGAAATGACAATGTGATATTGAAAGACAAGTGTATAATAAATAATAAATGTATAAATACGACCTATCACATAATTAGCAAGTACTGTTTACACTGCTATAAATGTCAAAACATCAATAAGATATATACACATACATGGAACTCCCTTTTTGAGTCATAGTTATGTGTTCAGAAAGTGCAAAGTGTAAAACTTTCAAATGATTGTAAAATTAAAGTTACGCAAACATATAATTGACTTCTTATGATTTTAAAACAAATCATTAACTCATTACTATTACATATGTTGCCCTACATTTCATATTGGATTAAACTACAATCATAACAGTTCATTTCAATAAACTACAACGAGAAAATACTTCAGCAAATTCGACAGTGAGTGTTAAAAAATGGGAGGTTTGAGATATTAAAAAAAATAGTTTAACCCCGTTCACGACCTTGTACCAAGTCAAGTGTGACGTAGTGTGTATTCGTTGTTCAATGCATCTGGTCATATTATGTAAAAATGTACACAAATAGGAAATATTGGAACAAAACAAAAGGAAAATAATGTAATCGGAAGCAACGAACAATCCCCTAGACCCTGTGAGATGTTAAAATTACATGTAGTTTCAATGCATTATAGATTACAAATATGTGAACAGATCGCGTTTTGAGTACAGTTTAGGTGTGAAAATTTCTTACCTAAAATAATTGAAACAAAGAGTTAAAATGGCCGACAAATTTGCAAAGTGAATTTCAGGTTAATTCACTATCAACCATATGAAAGCAGAACATTCCCAATTAAGTACAGTATTTATAACCAGTTCAAGCTTTTTTTTTTTTTATAGCAATCAATTAAAATTGAAAAAGAAAGTGGTTTCCTACTCTGTTTTTGAGAATGCCTTAAATTTCGAATTACATGTAATGATACGGAAACCAGTTTAGATAACACCCTATGTATTTTTTTGCACCACTGACTCAAAATTGTACTGTCGAATATATACCTCTATATATGAATAAAACCAAGTTAGGGAAACGAGACAGAAGTTCAAATCAGCACAATACACAAAATAGACAGTTGGAGGTCACCATATAGTATTTAACGACAGGCAACGTATGGGACGCTTGAAAATATCTAAAACTATGTTTTCATGACTAGTTTTGGTGTAATACAAGACGTCTTAAACATTATAAGATACATAGAAATATACAAAACATTACGTTTTTGCTTTTGAAAATTCCTGTCCTAACATATTGGAACTTTATTGGCACTGTATCTCTTATTGATATTCTGACATCTTTTTATTACGATACACACACATAACACTAATACATACATATATAGAAGCAAATAGGTTAATCTTTCAGACGCATCTTCTCTAAATTTTCAATTTGTGTTTCTTCTGAAACAGCTGTATAAGTTGTATTGTTCAGTTCATACCCACCGACAGTGCCTCGTCTTGATTGAGAAGATCGGGAAATTTCGGAAAACGAAGATCCACGGAACACTCTTGAGAAAAATTTCATAAGGTTCTTTCGGAATTTTCGACCAACGGCAGTGTAGATCAAAAAGTTCACAGATGAATTTGTAACGAAAAGAAAGTTGCTGACAGCTAAATATTTAATCATCACAATTGGATCAAACAAAGTATCAAATTGTGCTAACAAGCCAGGCGTCTGACAAAGCAAAAAGACAACAACAATTAATACAAGAACTAGACTAAGGTTTGCTTCATTATCTTCCTGTATATTTAAACCAGCACGACGTCTGCGCATACGCATGAGTTCATTAATAATCAACAGATTCAAGACAAGCAGTGAACACAGAGGTATCACATATATAAGAAAAGTATACAGATATAGTTGGTAAAAGTGATAAAAATTACTGCCACCAAATTCAGTTGTCATGAGAACAAAACACTCGCCATTTGACTGACCCTCCACACACGGAGTTTTTGTTTTGAATGCTAAACAGCGTGGAATGTTATAAATAATCGAAACAATTGTTATGATGGATAATGATATTTTCGTTTTCTTTTTTGAAATCCACTTTGATGCTTTGAATGGATGACAAATTGAAACATACCGTTCTACGGATGTTGCTACTGTTATCCACACGTTACATTGTTGTATCGTCATGACTAGAAATGTACAAGGCATATATATATTGGGATAAATGACGTTTTTAAAATACTTTAGTTCCGGATGATAGAACGCAAGTGTATATGGTGTCATTGCTACACACGCTACAATTATAATTCCAGTATCTGTCACTACCAACCCTCTCATTAAAATTATTGTCGATGAATGCATCTCACGACGCCATAGAACCACCATTGTTAAGGCATTACCCAGAATTCCAACCACGGCTAAGATGGGCAACAATATTCCATTAAACACATACTGAAGATATATGGCGTCCCAACAAGCAGAAGTGTTACACGAATCTTGTAAGTATTCACCATTGTTATATGACAAATTCAATGCAAAGTTTATCTCATGGACTCCCATATTGAAAGTACCTTGACCTTGTCGATCATTTCATTTTTCTCTCCTTATTCTTCATCTCTATATCCTGAAAAGGAAGACATATTAGTACTTTAAATTTCAAAAATTTTCAAACAATTCTTAACTATGAAATGAAAATAACACTATATTTTGATGCGTCTGAAGGGCTTTCCAGGATGTACCTCCATCACAAATTTGAAAGCCGAGGTCGAATAAATACCAAATACACAAGGAGCTATATGATAAAACGGACTTAAGGATGTACTTAGGTCAGGTTTAGGAATTTTTGTCAGATGTCGGACTCCTTGGTTTTTTTCCCACAATACAAGGTAAAATATTTTGCCCAATAACACCCATTTTTCTTTTCATATAAGACTTCAATAGCTCATAAAAGGTCATTTACCAAAATTTAAGCAGATTTTAGATTTCTTTTCTTTCGATTTGAGATCCAAATGATACCAATGCAAATATAAGGTAAAAGCCCGAGTCAGCCTTTTCCCGCCATTTTTTAAAGATTAAATATCGCGAAAAGGAGCTCCATAGCCTATCGATATTTATAGCTTATTTTGTTTGTTCCTTAACTAATGCGTATCAATTTTAAATTCTAGATTTTTTTAATTTCACCTAAGTACAGCCTTAAATATAACTCATCGTAAATAAAATATAGCCAAATTAATACAAGATCAACTTTGTCTGAGGGAGCTGAACCTTATTTTTACACTAATTTCATTAACGAAGAATGTTAAAACAGTATTTCTTAATCATGTCAGTACTGAATGGACATGTGTAACGACTTACAAATATGAACCAAACTAAACAGGTTTCAATTTAAATAATTGAAAACATCGATTTATAGCTCGGTTTTGTACACAATATAAAACTATGTATACAAAATATTCCGTTATTGTCGATCAATTTCCGTAGAATTTCAAGGAAATCAATTTATATATGTGTTTTTTAAAAAGAAAATTGAGATATCATTAAAAGTGAAAGAAGAATATAATATTTTCAACTTGACAATTAAGTTCATTAAAACCGGTATCTGTAACATGTTTATTAAAAAAGTATATATTGTACTTTAATCTCACTGGAACCCTTAATCTAAGAACTTCCGTGGTCTAGTTGCAATACATTGCTCTATAGATATAATCTAATGGAGATGTAAATTGTGCGTCAATAAGACAGCAATTCATGGACACCAGTATCTAGATCACATCTATCTATAGGTCAACATATAGTCTTAAAAATAAGCCTCTTTAACATTGTCAAGCTCTAAATGGCCACGAATTTAGACAAGAAGTTAAAAATATAACAGACACCGCCAAAAATATGCCAACAACTTAAACTTCTTAAATGCATAAGAGCATTAACAGATGTGACAAAAACCAACCACTGACGAGGTTCCTGACTTACAGATTGATGTAATTTTCTCCACCTTTCATAACCTAATGCGTTACCTAATAAGATTACAGATGCTATCCTATTGCATCGTTTAAAAGTACATATGATATACAACACGTTGTGGGGTTAAACAATTTTCAGTGTTTTTAATAAAGTTATATTACTTATGTTGGTGTATATATTTCCGAGTAGAATTAACTTTGCTAGTGCAGTCAAAGTCCTACGAAGGGTAACATTCAGGGATATTACTCCTCAACTTTAAGACAAAACTTTGAACATGGCAAAACACCGATGTTTACCCACAGTCGAGGTAGTCATTTTGGGTCCTTGATGCTTTTCCACTTCGTACATTATTTGGCCTATTTAACTTTTTTTGATTCGAGTCTTTTGTAGACGAAACGCGTGACTGGCGTACAAAATTTAAATCCTGGTATCTATGATGAGTTTATTTCTAGCAAAATACACTGTATTCCATGTAAACATTTTGGTTTTGTTCTACATAGAATATTACAATATTCTCATACAATACTTATTATGCATGCTATTGATCACGATATCTTGAATTATCCGAATTCACGACAACATATGTAGTGTATTGAATAATTAGAGTTTTATCTTTTTGTTCATAGTTTTTCAAATTTTAAAAGTATTGAGTTTTTAGTAAAATCTGCAGGTAATTGTGCAAATATCGAGAATTTTAATTCTATATTTCAGTTTTTGTTTTTGATGCTTTCACACGTTTTATGTATTTAGCTTCTCAATTCTTTGTATCTTATACAGGTATTTTCATCCTGCATTAGTATGATTACGGGTAATCGTCCGTAGAAACTATGTTTTCATGACTAGTTTTGGTGTAATATTGTCAGATTTAAATTAATTTCGATTCGATTCGTAATTGGTTGGTTATATCAGTTAAACAAATTCATTGGTAAAAAAATTGTCTATTTTTAATCGATTTACGAGATTTTAACATCGCTAAACTACTGTCTTGTTAATTTCCAAAATACTAGTCGGTGTGTACTTTAACAATTGCTCAGACGCTTATGATTACGGGCAGTGGCATCGTTATGATAGGTTTATATATACATTTGTATTTGGTTTAGCATGCAAACCTGTCTTCTGAAATATTTGCCCGAGAAATTTCCTATATTAAATCAAATAAAGTGTATTTCACATACACTTTGATACTACATCAAAAAATTCTATCAGCATTTCATCAGGATAAACGTCAAAGGATAGTGTTAATTTACTGTCTGACTGTTATGTAAACGATGCGCAAATAAAATGTTGCGTTGAATCAATGACCGTCTCGGGACGCTATCGGCAACTTATAAGATAATAAATCCGATGATATTAATGTAATTTTCTCCACCTTTCATAACTTAATTCGTTACTTAATAAGATTACAGATTCTATCCTGTTGCTTCGTATATTAGTATATATTACTATATACTTTACAGTTAACGAAACTAGTTAATTTCCATTAGGGTGAAAATTTGATAATGAATTGCATTCCGTGACAACAGACGCTCCAAAAACATGAAGGTACTTATTTCTTTTTACAATAATGCTTTTATTTAACGATGATCATCACTCGGAATCTATTGACATGTTCAACTGTAATTGAAACCTAAATATTATTGGACCTTTTCATGGTTTATTTGACATTTCGTTTATATCTGTTTTACGCCTTGGTTACGAATTTACAGACATCATAAACATGTCTGCATTAGTCTGATTACGGTTTATCATCGGTGGAAGCTATGTTTTTGATGACTGATTTTGGTGTAATATTTTCAGACTAAGATAACCCTTCGCTGCGATTGCTTCATCAGTTACTTTTATGTGAATTCACTGGTAAAATAACAACGCAATTGCACGGTTTTACTATATTATCTATAAAATGACAGTGAAAACCGAATGATCCGAGCCATGTATAAACCAGGAACCTGTCTAAACTGGAACCCTTTATCAGATATAGTCTGAATATTGATAGTTATTCAACATGTGGAAAGCGTATACCTGTCTAATCAGAACAAATCGTCAATCGTAAATGAATTCGGTTGATTTAGGGCGGTTTTACTGAATTAAACTTTTGAACAAATCTGTCATTGTCTCTACATTTTTTAAACTCAATTCGTCACACAGTATATTTACAAATGTTGTCCTATATGACCACATTTTTATATATGCAAAATTAAAAGTTCTTTATTTCCAATCACCTTTTTTTTTAAAATTACATTTCCAAGTGAATTCCTTAAAACAAAAATTAGAAGTTAATATTGAAGGCGGGCACAATGCATGTATGCAGGGTCGTCGTAAATAAACAATAAGGACAAAAATAAAATGAAACGAAAATAAAAGAACAGAATTCCAATGTCCCCCGTTTTGCACATATTTTATCTATCAAAGGTACACTGGCAATAACTAAATAACACTTTTTTTGTTCTTTAAAACAATTAATAAATATCTTAGAGAAATGACAGCTTCAGAGCAAATGCAATTTTCCATGTAAACAATATTTCTAAGGGGAATAGCTCTTTTAAAAATAATTGATCGGCACTGATTTTCGAACTCTTAAAAAACATTAATGATATAAACCTATAATATAAATTTCATAAAAATCTGGCAAGAATCGTACACATTAGAGCGCTCATCAGGCAACTATCCATATAATTAATATTTCTCAGGGCATAACTCCTTTAAAAATAATTGATCGGTACTGATTTTCGAACTAGTCAAAGACATTGCTGATAGAAACCTATGATATAAGTTTCATAAAATTCTGGCAAGAATTGTACACACGAGAGCGCTAACGATGTAATTTTCCATATAATTAATGTTTCTAAGGGGCATAACTCTTTTAAAGATAATGGATCGGCACTGTTTTCGAACTCACCCAAGACATTGCTAATATAAACCTATGCTATAAGTTTCATAAAAATCTGGCAAGAATTGTACACATGAGAGCGCTAACGATGCAATTTTCCATATAATTAATGATTCCAAGGGAAATAACTCTTTTTAAAAATAATTGATCGGCACTGATTTTCTAACTCGTCCAAGACATTGCTGATATAGACATGGAATCTGATGTTCAGTAGTTGTCGTTTGTTAATGTGGTTCATAAGTGTTTCTCGTTTCTCGTTTTTTATATAGATTAGACCGTTGGTTTTCCCGTTTGAATGGTTTTACACTAGTAATTTTCGGGACCCTTTATAGCTTGCTGTGCGGTGTGAGCCAATGTTCCGTGTTGAAGACCGTACTTTGACCTATAATGGTTTATTTTTATAAATTGTGACTTGGATGGAGAGTTGTCTCATTATCACTCATACCACATCTTCTTATATCTATATATGATCTAAGTTTCATTAAAATCTGGCAAGAACTGAACACGAAAGAGCGCTACCAAGACCAGAAAGACCGACGGACGGACGCCCAGTACTTCTATGTCCCCCGCAACGCGTTGCGCGGGGGACAAAAAATAGACAGATTTCAATAAATATGTCAAGCTTGAAATAAATTTTGATAACATTGGTGAATATATTCTGAAAAGTCAAGTTAAAACAAAACCAAAAGCCTCTGTTAAATTGTGGTCTCTATGTGAATGTGAATATTCATCAAACAAAAATTACGAAAACAATCACTTCTATAAAATTTCTGAATAGAAAGCGTTATATTAAGTTAACATTACCACAATTAATCTCTGAAGACTCATTTTCAATATTAGCTTCTTGTTCAATTCATAGGATTTTGATTGAAAAAAACGCTGTCTAGATATTGGAAGATAATATCCAATTTAAACGTATACGATGTCATGTTTATCGATATATAGCTAATATAACTATGTTACAGATGTTAATTAAATATATCAAATCATCAAATCTATTTTCCTGTCCATTATTTCACACGCGTCTGGCTGAGGAAAGACACAGTGAATTCAAAAAATGTCATATTGACATTAGAAATGATCTACATGCCAGTGTTTTCTCTTACGTTATTGTTGCTAAACAGGGAATTGATGGCTTGTTCAGTAGTTTTTAATATGTCGTCTAAGATCTGCAAAAGATAAATCTTTGCTGTACTTGCTCGTAAAATGCTTTCATCAATGAAAGATAATAGTTTTTCTAATATTAGGGGCAGATTTAAACATTCATTTTAAACTAATAAAAGCTAAGACAACACAGTAGTGACACGCGATTCAAAATGACGCCACATAGATAATGAATAAAGTGTAGATATTCAAATACCAAACCTTTTTCTTTTATTTATCACATTGTTCGCAAATAGATTTAGATTTGTCATCGGTTTTTATATTTCTTATTATTCAAAGACATTTTATATAAGAAGAATCACTCGACAAATCAACTGGGCAGGTGCACAAGACTAGACTATCTACCAAAATTAGGCGGAGTATACGAAAGGGACATCCAAAACTCACAAGTCGAAAAGAAATGAAAAACAATGACAAACAACAGTCTACAAAACACTGCATAAAAAACTGAAGACTGGGTAAACCGAATCCATCCAAATCCGGCGATGGTCTCTAACATGTGTTTGTTCTGGCGATATACCAACAAAAAAGATTATGAAGTTAAGACTTTTATTATGATTAGTTTACCATGATACTGTCCCACTCACAGGTTCATAATTGTAAACTTGATAAAACATGGTGAAGTTTCAAAATGAAGCAGTCGAAATGACGAAATGACAGCTTTTAAGATTAGTTTGTTTCCATGTATTCATATGATACTAATGTTATAAAGCCCTTTGCCTACCTGATGTAAACAATTTTGATATAACTTTAAACAATTTGCATGTTTTAGCAAAATTTTGAATCGAAGGACATCCTTTACAAAAATCTATATGATATGAAAGAAAATGCATCCCGTAATTTCAAGAGACTTTCGTTTTTTGTTAAGATTGTCCTTAGTATTATTTATTTTTATTAATGATCCCAATCTTACAAAATTAATCGAAATGTTGTTTCGAAATATAATTAAGTATAAAGAATATATTTAGTATCCTGAACATTTTTAAAAAAAACCAGAAGTCTATCCTCAAACCTTTTTTTCATTATCAACGATTGAGTTTGATATATAAATGTATAACCTGATATCAGACGATTTGTTTTCCAATATAGAAGTTGAAGATACCAAAGACATATTTAAACTCGAAAGTCGAAAACGAATTGACAATGCCATGGCAAAACCGAGAAACGAACTAAAGACAAACACCAGTCTACAAAAGATAACATAGAAAACTAAAAACTGGGCAACATGAAACCCTCCAAAAACCGGATAATACATATTCTTTTATACATGTTAGACAATAGACAATATACTGTTTTATGTACGTTTCGTATCAATATTTTTTAGGGGGAACCTTAGTCAGGTACGCTTAAGAACAAAAGTTAAATACATAAACACTTTTAAAAAGATATGCTTCTTTCGTCACTGCGCTTATTGGTAAACAGTAAACAGTCCGTTTTGCACCAATCATGTATTAATCTAAATAATTCTCATGATAAACATCTAAATAAACAGGAATTCAGATCATTTACATCCCATTTCAATACAATTACTACATAATTAGATAATAAATGGCACAAGTGCGGAGAAGATAAGGTTCTTTGGAAATGAAATTGATTTTAATCCCGCTGAGAAAACCGCTTAGCATAATAAGGTGGCAAACTGGACAATATGGTTATAGAATAATCCTATTATGTTATTTTGACAGGGAATTGTATCAATATCTCAGTTTCAATCATATGAGCATTAGAAAACAATATGATTCCCACTGTGTCCAAATTACTTCACAACAGGAAGAAATCGATTCATCTCTCTCAGTAAGAACTTCATTGACGAGCATAAGTAAGAACAAATCCGCTTAAAGTCATACTCTATTGTCTATTGTCGGTTAATGCTGTTAGATAAATTATTTCTAATAAGTTTATAGTCATTCCGGAAAGGTAGACGTCTTTGGTCCAGCTGTTAGTACAATTTTATTTTAAAGATAAACGATATCAAAACCATTCAGGTGGCACGGTAGTATTTACATTCCGGAATTTAGGTTGCTCTTTTGTGTACCCTACTTAAGTCAATGTATCTGAACAGTGTGATTGGACAAAAAATACAGTATCTACTGAACATACTTTCCCAAACTGAGATGGATCAGGTGTAAAAAGATATGAAATAATTTTTGAGAATTTAAAAAATTTTGTATTCACTGCATGATAAAAGACATAAAAGCACTAGTGGCCTAAGGTTTATAAAGATAGCAAAAAAAAAAAAACCGGTCATAATACATATTCAAATTCATTTCTGCATATTATAATGAAAGTACTTCAGTTTACTTTGTATGTAGAATTTTGGGCAGTGTTAGAAAGTGGTGAAAATTCTAAAAAGGCTATCATTATCCCTATGGGCCAGGAAATACTACCGTGCCACCTTCAGATGAAGACATCCGTATTTTTCGATCATTTTTGAACCAACAGAGTATTTTAGAAATAAAAATGTATTTCCTTCTAAAGATACTGTTTTGAGTATGAACCTTTCATTCTCAAACACAGAACATATTCTTTTTTTTTAATGTAAAGTGGTAATGCACATCGTGTATATCAACATGAAAACACATTCCTGCAAACCAACTACTTTTCGTGATTTTCGCTAGTATAAAATAACCTGAATTTATATCGTGGGCAGTATGTCAAACTTGGATTTTTCTATTATATGAATACATTCACAAATTTGAAAATCTCGACGTCAACTAAAAATGACTAAACGCGGAAAAGGATATACTAAAATAAATTAGTTGACAGTATATATGTACCAACGACTGTTTCAAACACTAGTTTTTAATTACCTTCGTTTCCTTCAAAGTACATTTACTTTTTTTAGTAAATTGCTTTACTTTGACTATTAATTGATATTTAATGGCCTATTTACAAACAAACAAAAGAATATATTACAACTAAAATCAATTAAAATAAACAAATTTGGGTCAAACTTGTCTGATGGTGACAATCTTACTTCCTGACTGATAATAAAACTATTTGGTAATTATCAATCATACTGATGGTTTGTTTACTATAAATATTAAATCTATAATTGTTGACAAGTAATGTTTAGTTTTTACTGTTATCAACGTGATCGACCATGGTACTGTTTTAGACTTTCGTCTGATAATTTACTTTCAACGATGTTGGATCTTCCGTTCCAGAAATCACAATCGTGTTGTAATTATATGGGGCTTTCTCTGTATGATTCATTTACAATTAGTCTATAGTTTGGAGACTGTAAATTAAGGCAAGATTAGTTTGTCGATGTTTAAATCTCGTAAATCGACTCAGAAGACAAATCAAGGATAAAAAACGTAAAACTGAGGGAATTGAATGAGCCCCAAAAGTCGTGAAACCGGGTACGTCGAAAGGATAAGCGTCTCCAACAAAGTTCGATCCGCCCTGCGAATGTAAAGCTCGTCGAACAGTGCTTTGATGCCATTTATACGTCTAGTTTTAGTAACGTAGTATTGGCAGGAATTTTGTATTATATTCTTGTCTGAATAACGATAGAAAATATTTAAGTCATTATGAAATGGCAACCAAGCAAAAACTTATTGTATAACAAGAAATGCACGATTATCCTATAAAATGGGAACATATTCGGTAAAAATGGCCAGCAAAAACGTCCGACCATAATATATTATGTCAGGAAAGGATTTCAGTTTTTTTATAGTATAAATGTATATTAAACAACTTAAAAAAAGTAATTAAATTTCAAAGGTTCATCACTTTTGTACGTATAAAATCTTTTTTAGATTAGAGACTTGCGTATGTTTGTGCAGAAGACAATTCAACAAAGGTATTTGAACCTGCATTAATAACACATTTTTTAAATGCTAATATTTCAGTGCACGATGGGGGAAATCATTTTAAAAATACGACGTATAGGAGGACTGTCATGATTATAATTTATGGTTACATAATTCTAAATTATTGATTTCAAGTTACATCGTGTTGATTAACATTCGGTCTTGATCAGATTGATCCTTATATTTCAATGTTTTAACGAGGCCAAAATAAGTTGGGATATTACTATTAATACAAAATATTTTTTTTGGCAAATCACATTATAAATTACAAAATTGTGACCCCTTAGGTATGCATTATTGTTGTTGTTACCACAGTTTTGGTCTAATTTTTCGATACTTTATAACATTATTTAGCATAATGTTCTTTGGTCGCAAACCATGACCCAAAAAAAGTTTGGTGCTTAGTAATTGGATATAGCTCTTGGCACCTTTTGGTTACAGAACATTTTAGATTGTATGTTCAGAACAAGGTTTTTGCCCAAGTCTTTTAGATAAAAAAAAAGGCACAAAAGTATAAATAAAAGCCTTTTTGAAACTTTATTATAAAGTTGAAATTAAAGGCCATATTTTGCCGTAGAAATTTAATTCCAAAAATTCAATATTTCATTTTTTTTTAACAGGACATTAAATGAATGCTGCATCTAATATTTTTGGTCATTGTCTTTTCCAAATTCAAGGGCTCGACCAAAATCTCTAGCCAGATATGATCAAATGTGGAGTCTACATCAAATCGTACGTATAGTTATAAGTATTATGTAACAATTAATATACTTGTCTTTCTATTTTCTATGCACAATAACTTTATATGTCACTTCACTTTCACAAGTGACTCTCGTACTGTATGAAAATAGCAACATCATTATGAAAGTGTTCGACTGAATATTCAGGAACGAGATCGGGTACACGAGATTAAATATATAGATTGAAACATGTTTAAAAAACTTATAAAATATTTTACTTATATAAGTATTAGTTATATTTCCTTTCTGATATAACAAATATGATATACAATTAATGCGGAATATTAACCGCTTAAGAGTTGTTGTAAGTAATCGACTTATGATTCATTGCGTTGTCTAACTATATTTGACTATATGCATGGTATTGTAACTTTTACTCAAGAATATTATTTATGCATTTTTTTAAACTTGCGTTTGTTTTTTTTTTGTGGGTTAATTTTCTAAAAGTGAATTTCTCTTTTCGTAAATAGTAAAAAATAACACGTCATATGTGGATGTCCTTTATAAAGATTAAATTAATTAACCATTCATAAGCTTGCCATTTGTGTTTGGGATTGTAATGCCTACATAGCCGATATTCCGATAGGTACAACATATGTAACCCTGCAAGCCGACATGATCTTACAATGACAAGAAACAGAATGAAAAGCAAAAATAGAAAACTCCTTTAGCATCAATAGATACTTATTTGTACTCGTTTGTCATGTGATACGTGCATAAAAGAAGCTGTTTACCTTGTCGACAACCCTGTTTTTTAAAGTTCATTTGATAACCATTGCTGCTACTCCAATTTAGCTTGTACGAAGAAAAACGAGTATGGCGTACACAATTTTAAAACTGGCATCGTTTTTGAGTTTGTACATACCAAAACTTATTTCGATATAACCAATAGACCAACAATTCCTTTGTACTCGATAATCGTTATTCAAGTGAACATTTTAAAATCTTATCTACACCCCAATTACCATGAAACTCTGGACACTATATAGCGACGAAGTCGGCTTCTCATCTTGATCTATTTTAGGAGGCAGGTACTGATTGACGACTTAAAACGAGAATCTATGACAAACATGATGGTCCTAGTTTTCCTGTTGTTTTCTTTCTATTTTTGAATATAAACATATTATCTGATCCGCCTTTGGCGCTTATGTATCTATATAGATTCGATATGTCAGAGATTTGTTTTATAGGAAATATTTGACAAAAAGAGATATACTTCTCAACTAAAATAACTCAATTGGATCTAGATGATGAGAGACTGGTACATGTATCATCAATTCACAAAAATTGTGTAGTCGACATCACGAATCTGTTGATCGTTTCCCTGTCATAGCATTTCAAATTACTTTTAATATGTTTGTAAAGATTCATGTTTACTCTGTTATAAATATCGCGTGTCAACTATTGCCATCCGTCATTATTAGTCATAATTAACGGTTTTGTTATGCAACTGACCAGACACTAACTACTTGATACGACTTTGGAATCGCATTTCGAGTGATTCATCTTTTCTCTGCAATAGATCCAACCAGTCTATTTACTTTCAATTAATGTTTTTTTTTCTTAACTAACTTAAAACATTTTACCTTTTATCAACGAACTACATTCATATTTAATGTGGTTTTACTCTATTTGATATCTAATGATATTTCTTAAACCATTTGTGTTTGAGCATCCCTGAAGAGACATTACTTGTCGAAACGCACATCTGGTGCAGTAAAATTGGTATCGTTAATGTTATTATGAATCCCATGCTTTTACTTTTGTGCCATAAATCTCCATGTTACTATATCGACGCATCCGGTCTCGCTCCGTTTTTGTGTTAATGCAATTGACTCAGGTTTTATCTCTTGGATTGTGCATTGAAAATGGATTTACGAGTTATGAGCATCGATAACCTTATGTTCCCTTTTATTCTCAACCAAAATTGTAACGATACGTTTAACTTTGCTGCACAAAAATAATATTATACAAATGATGAAATAAAATACAGTTACTGTTTAACCCCGTCGCATTTTTGCGCCTGTCCCAAGTCAGGAGCCTCTGGTCTTTGTTAGTCTTGTATGATTTTTAATTTTAGTTCATTTATATGTTTTGGAGTTTAGTATGATGTCCATTTTCACTGAACTAGTGCACATTGTTGTTTAGGGGCCAGCTGAAGCCCGCCTCCAGGTGCGGGATTTTCTCGCTGTGTTGAAGTCCCATTGGTGGCCTTCGGCTGTTTTCTGCTCTTTGGTCGGGTTGTTGTCCCTTTGATATATTCCCCATTTCCATTCTCAATTTTACTATTATATTATTCTTGATCATTTAATCCATTCAGTAATATATAGACTATATATTGTTAAAAACGCAAATTAAAAATCCGCAAGAAGCTTTATTTTGCAATTAGATTAAACATTTCTTTACACATCTTAAAAAAGGATTGTTATAATAATCACAGTACTTACTATTTTGTATACATGTTTCTATTTGAGTGTCCTTGGGAGTTCAGTGAGTATTCCGTAAATCACGTAATCTGTAAGAGATACGAAAGGATCTGGTTATAAATGCCTATACAAAAGTTAAACTACAACGCTATTGTATTAATAATAAAATATATTTGATAAATTAGCTGAAATATGCATTTCACCCTTATCAATGAAAATATGAAAATAGTTTACCACGATTAAATTTATTTCCTGTTCATACATTAATTAGTTGGATCCACCTTTAAATATATGTTTTAAACAAAAAAGGGTAAAAGGTTATTGAGATAATATCAAAAGACAGCTAATTAATCAATTGCGTGATTAGGTGAAACATATGTATCAATATTTCAAAATATCAGGTTGAATTGACCTTGGTATATTGTTTATACTCTCGTGGCGTTGTGGTGATAAGATATAATCTTTAAATGATAATAATAATAATAATAAAAATAATATTAATAATAATAATAATAATAATAAAAACAAAATAGGAAAAAATGTATGTGTTTGTCATTTCAATTGTTTGGAACATTAAATTTTCATATTTTTGTACAATCGACACATTTTAAACTTATTTACAGATTTATATCATTTCTATGCGAAATATGGTCTCTTGATTGTTTAAATTTGCGCAATACATGCATGAGGTATGAATTATTACGATCCTCTTTCATGTAGCCAGATCGTAGAACTTTCAGCTTAATAAGATGATTGTCAATACACTTACCGACTCGTTTGTATTTCCTTTCGGTATATCAGATATATGCAAATGTAGATTTCCATTATGAGTATGAATCACTAAAGTTTACATATCGTAATCACTTTGTCTAAATCAAGTTTAAGTGTTTAAGATAACTTTTTCTTTTTCTCTCTTAAATTGAAAAAATATTTTTTTCATCTAATGAAAGCATTAAACATTCATTCTTTCATCATTTCTAGTATTTCGTTTTACTTTCGGTAATCAATACGAAACAGACAATAAAGTTTTTGTTTTGATTTTATGTATATCAGTGCTTTACTATAAATGGTAAGAGAACATCCCGTTTCCATCCAATACTATTAACACAATGAAGAATTTGAAATCCGCTTGATAACCAATCGATTCCTTAGAGATTTTTACTCCGATTTAGTATCCTTGATATTAAAGAAGCTTATAGCTCCAATAAACTATTTTGACCATTTATTAGCCAGAACGATGACGTCTTTGTCGTACTATACCAATGAAATATTGCCCCTGATTTAATTCAGATGATATAGAATCCATTCGTTTACTGCCTGACAATTGCCTACATATTGGCTATACGGTTAAAATAACTGAGATGAAATTACATTTAAGAATAAATATTCTTCTTCTTTAACTTCTACTTCAAGATATTTAACAGTTTGGTTGTCCTTTAATACATATATACATGTATATATATATGCCGAGAAAACATTGCACGTTTTACTTATGAACTTCACGAACTCATTTAAATTCTTCATGTACGCTAAAATTTTACAAAACCAGAGGAGGAACCAAGGCACAAGTACTACAAAATTCAATGTTCAAGTAAAGTTAAGGAGATGATTCATTTCATTATAAGATGCTTATACAAGTGTTGATCACTTGTGATCACTTGTGTCGATTGTACTTCTGTAAAATACTCAAGGAAATTCCTTTATCACTTCTTAAGTTATTAAAACGTTCAATTTAATTCATACAAGTTTGATTTTTTAATGATTTTTTTTCCTAAAACGTTTTTTTGGGGTAATAAAAAAATGTTCAAATGTTTGTTTTGTGTGATGTCTTTCCCCCATTCCATTCAATTTAATTTCAATTCAAAGTTTCATTTATGGTCGATAAGTAGTAAACTACATCAACACATCATTGAATTTTTGGGTTGTGCATTTTTTTTATCATCTACTTGACTTTGCATTTTAACACAGCTCCGGGCCTTTTCTGAAAGTCTTCCTGTGTACGTATTTTGACGTTGTACACATTGTTGTATACTTAGTTTATCTGTTTAAAAGAAAAACAGGGGCATATCGTAGCTACTAGAACAAAAAAATCACAAATAATTCATCAGACAATACAAATCTGACTCGCTGCTCATGTCAGGATCCCATGCTATACAAATCATACAGAATCGGGAAAATGAACTGGTCAATGTTTCTAAACTTTGTTTCCTCGATGCATACTTTGAATTGATATTAGATTTGAATGTCCCTTTGGTCATGTTGGTATCTTGCGCCTCCCTTTTGCCTATACAATAAAGTTTTTCATTATAAACATTTTTTTGTATTTACAGCACTACAATTTTAGTCAATAACATAAAATGCCTCAAAGGTAAGTAGTAAAACTCTAAAAGTTTTAAACATATAGATATTGTAGACAATAATGATGTTGTTGGAGAAGTCAAAATATAATCGGCATTATATACTTGGAAGAATAACTACAGCTAAATATTTTTGACATTTTGACATTAAGATAATTGTGTAACTTTCCTAAATAGTTCATTGTTTGATTGCAATTATCATAGTACATCTTTACTCTGCAATGTACTCTGTCAACCGCTATGATCTATGATATTTTAAAGGAACCAACTATATTATCGCATTATATAATTGGAAGAATGGTATTAAATATCAAAGATATAATTACATTTAACTAATCTTATATATAGAAAATAACTTTTTTTCAGTTTCCATTTTAGATTGTGCAAATCATAGAATGTAAAAAGTAAAATAAAAAAAAAAAAAAAAAAAAAAAAAAAACAAACTCCAAGGAAAATTCAAAACGGAAAGTCCCTTATCAAATGGCAAAATCAATAGCTCAAAGATATATATTCTTAAAGATATATACTCACGACAAAAACATTGTCTTAATTGATAGGTACGACAATGATAAACAAGGTACATGTAACAATAGTTTACGATGTACAAATCTTCTTAATCCACTCTTACGATACAAACCAGGAAAAAAGGGCGACTCGCATGAACTCCAAACGCAGTGAGACCTAGTGGGGTTGAACGATTAAGCATATCTATAAAACTGTCAGTTTACAGTATGTTAAAGTGGTAGAAGCTGCGGGAACAAATTCTACTCATTGATCTTTTTTAAAAATATATAAATATACAACCATAGCCTTGCAGATGATGGTCGAGTTCAGTTGTGTTTCATACCTTATTTTTTTCCGGCTCGTCTTAATAGGCTAACATTACCTGATGATATTATCGATATAAGTAACTTGTAATATATTTCTGAAAAGTTGAGTACTAGTGTTTTAATAAATTTCTGAGAAATATATTTTTTATCTTGACGCTGTTTAAAAAAAAACATCAATAGAATAGAGATGACCATTTGATTTTCTGCGAGTTGGTATCACATGAGTTTTAATTTTTCTGAATAGCATTATTTATTTCGATCAATGCCTATTCTAGATTGTTTCTTAACATATTACCAAACTTGGTTCAAATCGCATTTTATGGTATCTGGCAAAATTACTTTATAGACATTAACGGTTTAATGCGTTTTTTTGGTTGTAATATTAACTTGTCACTTGATGAAAATAATAATAATGCTTTGAGATTAACCGTTCTGTTCGTATGACATTCACTTACATATATACAATCCACATAACATATACTCTTGACATTATTTGATAACACCTTTTTATGTAGCATTTGTTACGAATGCGTTGCGGTTTGTACATTTTCAATGGATCATATGCATTCAGGTAGTGCAAACAACCGTTATATTTAACACTATATCCCTTTATACCAGAGTAAAAACTTGTATTAACATTTCATTACGTTACATAATAAGTCATCTAGAACTATTTCCATTGAATTTAACATGCAATTTATAAACATGAACACTGTTTAGCGTTGAAGAAAGGTTTCACTATTGGTATTCAATATATGTATAGTGAAAATGTTAGAGCGTGGAAATGACATCAGAGATCTTAGAAAAGGCTATGAGTTTAAATCTAATTTCGGGTATATTTATATATTGTTTCCTTTCAACCTTTTTATTTAAATTTACGGACGAAAATAAACTGCACATAATTGGAACAAAATCATATAATGACATGATATTCCTGAGTTCGAAAGAGCATGTACAGACGTTTTTCCTTTAATAAAGTGGGTTAATCCTATTGTTTTATTGACTTAACAGTTTTGGATCAATTGAACTGTTTTGAAACAAAACATTACACATAGTCCATCAAATTTATCTAGCAAACAGAAATCAAACTGATTTATCTAACCGCACAAAGTTTAAAATAATAACATGAAGTGTATATGATTAGGCATAGCCTGCAAACATGTAAAAGGATGTTTTGATAATTATGTACAACCAAAAAGGAGACTGTGTCAGAATGCAAGCTTTTTAATCAGTTATTTACAGCCTTAAAGTAAAGATTTTAGCTGCATGCCATGTTCTATAACAAAAACATCTATATAAATTGAACAACACGACGGGTGGCACTTGTGTAGCAGGGACAGCACACCTTCCGGTGAAATGTTGTCTGTCTGTTGATTATGTTAATTTTTCTTTCTGCGACTTATTTTTTTTCTTACATCCTAGGTACCATTTCCCCTTTTTCCAGTTATGATGCATATTCAGTATGAACAATAGAAGATTTATGAAAATATGGATTTTGAAATGCCCGAAGCTGCTTTGTTTCATACTTCACCAGGAGCGGCCAGAACTAAAAATTTGAAAAAAAATAACAATGAGAAATTAAGTTAATCAAAACTGAAGTGTTCGTAGAAACAAATAAATCTTGCACTACGTAGGACACAAATTAGTGAAATTCGATGATCAGTACAAATGTTTATGTCAGGCAGTTTTGATAGAAAAACAAATTTTGATTGATTAATGCTCACGATTAACAATATTTTGGAGATCATTTACGCTGAGACAATGAAAAATTGTGCAATCTTCTGTTGTGTTTTTCTAATGAAAGTCATCTCAAGAATTGTTCAATTTGCAAATATTAATCTAAATTTAAAAAAAAACTCTTGATGGAAATGGTTTCAATACAATTCAATTTGTAAAGGTCAC